TCCAGCCGGGAGGAGAGTGGGGTTAGGGGATAAGCCAAAAGTTTGGAGATGGAAGGCTGAGGCTTGAAGCTCACTGAAAATTCTTTATCGAAGCAGTGCAGTGACTACTAGCGTGGGCTGTGTAGCTGGGTGATGTGGGTTCATTCTGGCTCTGCCACTCTCTTCCATGGAAGTATGGACAAACATTTTGATATCCCTTTGCCTACATTTCCTCATCTGTAAAACACAGCTAGTGTTAATACCTACCCCATAGAGTTATTGTGTGCACTGATCAAGCTGATATATGTGAAGTCTTCAAAGTACTTGGCATGTAGTGAGGCACTTTGCAAATAGTTAGCTCTTATTGTTATTATTTCTTGCTGAGTAATTTGGGACAAATCACTTAAATTTCCCGGTCCGTGGTTTCTGTAGATTGGGGAACAACCACCTCCTCCTCAGCTGATCACTTAGGAGCTCATACATGGGAATGAGACAGTGGGGGAGGCTGGCATTATGGAAGCCAGAGTCCCCATTTTCCCCTGGCCATCTCTCCAAAATGGTGGCCCAATAGCAGAGTGAAATTGTTGGCTGAGCTGGGTCACCCATTTGGGAGGTCTAAGGCCCATCCAGATCAATTGCCTCCAGCTCCCTCCCTCACAAGGAATGAGCTCCCTCCCAATGAAGGTGTGTGAAAATTGGTTGCTGAAAGAGCTGCTTAAGGGAACTTTAGAACCTCCAGCACCTCCGACTTGGCAGGCTAGCGAACACTCAGTGAGTGAAGGGTAGACCTTTCAACCCAGCGGTTCTTTTGGTTTTCAGTTTGCCGCTGGGGGCCTAAGCTGCCAAGATTCAAACTTGTATTTGTTGCTTTGAGTTCTAGCAAAAATGGCAACTGTGGGTGCTTGAGGTAGAGACACTGCAAGGAGGAAGTCTTTATCTGGGCTGAAACCTGGTCCATTTCCTGCCCACCAGGCCAGACCATACTATTTAAGAGGAGAGTATAGGAGCAGTTGTCAGATATTCTTTCCAGAGAAGCCTCCGTTCGTATTTCAGCTTCTCTAAGCTCTCGGGACCAGAGTAGAATTGAAACCAGCATCCTTAGCTAGCGATGGGGTTTCATTCAATAGCCGGTGCAGGCACAGGGCTTCCCTCTGGCCTCGGCACACTGGACTCCCTCAAGGAACAGCAGCTGAGTTTATTAAGGTTGTTATTATTAAGAACCATTCTACCTCAGCAAAGGAGAGATTTGGGGTCTAAGAGAAGTGTCTGAGTGAGGTAAGGGCAGATGAAATGAAAAGGTTGAGGGGGGCGTCTTGAGCTTCTTCCCAGATGTTTCTGTCCCTCCCTACCCACTTTTAGTACTTACTCATGAGCGCATAAGCTACACTAGGGTCCATGTTAAGCAGTGTCATTCTAATGAGAGGACACAGCTGAAAGACAAGAACAGAAGCAATGTTAGGAGGAAGGCTCAGCCTGCTGAGAAAGCCTAAAGGTAATTCTCCTGAGTCAACCTGAGCTCAGGAGTTCAAGACCATGGGTTTTGGGGACAGACTGTCCTGGGGTCACTTGTCAGCTCAGCCAGTTGGCAGCTGAATAACTCGGGTAAGTCATTGGCCCTCTCTGGGAACTTTTCTTAAATTTGGAAAATGTAGATAATATTGTTACCCCGAGTATGGGATTGTTTAAAGGATGAGGTGATATCATTCCAGATAATTGGCCCAGCGCATGCATGCTTAATGAGTGTTACCATTAATTTTAGGGTTACTTATAGTCGTTTTACTGATAAGGAAACTGAGCCTTGCAGAAGCTTGTCAATTCAACTCCAGTCACGTGGATGCTGATTTTGACTTGGAGAATTAAATAATGTCTGTGAAACACTTCACCAGTGCCTGATTGCGGGATGGGAGCTTAATAAAAGCCACTCCATCATTCCCTAACTCTCCTCCTTGGGAGATTACCTCCCACTTCATTAAGAAGAGCCATGTCATGTTCTGGGTCTCAACTCAAAAACTAAAGGAACCAGCTGGTGTGATGGCTCACACCTGTAATCTTAGCACTCTGGGAGGCTGAGGCAGGTGGATGGCTTGAGCTCAGGAGTTTGAGACCAGCCTGAACAAGAGTAAGACCCTGTCTCTAATAAAAATAGAAAAATTAGCTAGGGGTGGTGGTGCATACCTGTAGTCCTAGCTACTAGGGAGGGTGAGGCTTGAACCCAGGAATTTGAGGTTGCTGTGAGTTGGGCTGATGCCACAGCACTTTAGCTTGAGCAACAGAATGAAAACCAAACCAAACCAAAACAAAACTGAAGTAACCAGGGTTTGCATACTTACTTTTTCTCCAAAATTGTTGGCTATGACAGTTTTCAAGACTTTCTCTATGTTTCCCAGAAAAAAATTTGTTATCGGCTGGGTTCTAAGTGAAAAATGAGGAAAATGTACAGAAACAGATTTAATCTCCCAAACTCTCTTTTCACACCACTTCTTTGCTCCATGGCCCTGAATTGCTCCAAGTTTACTCCTCATCCATCGTATCCCATGACCCAGCCTTGCCTGACTGCTCCAGCCTATCCTCTATGGCTCCTTAAAATTAATCTTTCCATTTAAATCGTCTGGCCTGCATCAGTGTTACCTGTATTATCTTCTCTGTGACTATTTCGCATTCCAATTCAACCATCCTATTAAGCCAAGCCAATTGGTTTCCAATAGAAAACTCTTCCTGACCATTCTAGCCAACTCTGAGTCTCTCCTTCCTGCACACTCTCCCATTTCTGTGAATATCTGATGCTACAGTAGCACTTATCTCCTCTGCCAGATGGCCTGGGTCTGTGTAGAAGGAATAGCATAAGGTCCTTCATCAGCTGGGGGAGATGAGAGAGGAGCAGGAAGTAGCAGAGTCAGGGTGTCTTTACACCCTGTTCTTGACTTAGAGTTTCTAACCTTTCCAGGTGTGGGTGAACCTGTCTTATTCTTAGGCAAAGGGTTTATGTCATTGCCTGGAAATCAGCTGTGATCTACTGCTTTTAGACCAGTGGTTTTCAACCTTCCTAGGTTGCCACGACCCTTTAATACAGTCCCTCATGTTGTGGTGACCCCCAACCATAAAATTATTTTCGTTGCTACTTCGTAACTGTAATTTTGCTACTGTTATGAATCGTAATATAAATATCTGATGTGCAAGATGTATTTTTATTATTACAAACTCCCCTGAAAGGAGTCACGACCACAGGTTGAGAACCACTGTTCTAGACTGAGGTCTCAGATTCTCCACAAAGGAGGGATTTTTGTTCTTCAATAAATCAAAAGACATGAAAGAGTGAGTATTTGCAGTTTTCAGAGGGGGAGATGGGCTGTGAATCAATGTTGCTGTATCTGGTCTGGTTTTCACTTATGTTTGAGCATGTCTGGAGGACATGACCAGAGGTCATGGGTCAGAAAGAATTCCACACACAGATCGTTCTAAAAAACATTGAGTAGCTGCGATGAATCAAAATAAAGAATTTGTGGGCTGGGCACTGTAGCTCACACTTGTGATCCCAGCACTCTAGGAGGCTGAGGTGGGTGGAATCCCTGAACTCAGGAGTTCAAGATCATCCTGAGCAAAAACAAGACCCTGTTTCTATAAAAATAAAAAAATTAGCTGGGCATTATGATGGGTGACTGTTGTCCCAGCTACTCGGGAGGTTGAGGCAAGAGGGCCACTTTAGCCCAAGAGTTTGAGGTTGCTGTGAGCTATGACACTACAGCACTCTACCCAGGGCAACAGAGAAATAAACAAACAGCAAAAAAGACAGGGCATAAAATGGCTTAGTGACAACCATTGCATCTGGCTCGATTTTTTTAAAATATCAAAGAAAAAGATGTTTTAAAAGAGATCATAAACTTAGAAGAAAACTCCAAAACTCTGATTAGCAAAAGGACAAAATGCTTGAAGACAGTTCCTCTAGAAAAGAAATGTCAGCGATTAATAAGCAAATAGTGGAATGCTTTCTACTGGTAGTCAAAGGAATAAAAATCATAGCGTCCCTGGGGTTTTCAACTTGTCAAAGGGACAAGATGTGAAAATGAAAATACTTGGTATTGATTTGATATAGAGCAAAACTCACCAGTGCCAGCTAGAGCCATGTCCGTTGGTTGGGATTTATTACTAAGGTGTTTGGGAAGTGAATTAGCAATGCTGTAGAACTAGTTTATCTTAGAACTTAGTTTATGGAGTCGGGAAGGATGTGTTGGGATTGGCAATCCATCAAGGACAGTAACTACCATGGCTTTCTGTGCTTTGGCCAAACCTCAGATGCGTGGCCTCTTGGCCAGGTGCCTGCGGATTCATATTGTTGGAGCATTTGTTGTATCCCTGGGGGTTGCAGCTTTCTATAAGTTTGCTGTGGCCGAACCAAGAAAGAAGGCATATGCAGATTTCTACAGAAATTATAATTCTATGAAAGATTTTGAGGAGATGAGGAAGGCTGATATATTTCAGAGGGTAAAATAATTTTGAAACATAAAGAATTTCTTTGGGCTGATTTACATAGACATTTGTCACTGACCTGTGTTCCTGGGCTATGAATATGAGTGATAAATAAACTATTGATAAATTTTTTAAAAAAGAACTTAGTTTATCCATTAAACTTATAGAATTGTTTATACTTTTGGTATAATCTTAGAAATCTATCATAAGGAAATAATAATTATTATAATTATAATTCACAATTTTTGGAAAAACTTCCTATCCCAAAATGTTCAGGATTATTTATGAAAGCAAAAAATTTAGAAATAACCTAAATGTCAACACAGGGCTGGGAAATCCACCCTTATTTCCCCTCCGTGTTATTTGGTGAACATCTTTTCATGTGACCAACGATACGACTTTTATAATAAATAAAATATTAAAGGCGTGTGAAGTCCTATTTACCACACACACCTCCATACATACAAAAGAACTATTTTGGGGGGTGCTGGTTTGCTGCTGACATCTTTGAGGTGAACATCACTGGCGGCTTCACAGCAACCAGCCAGATCAAGAACTCACGATTCTCTAAATTGGATCCGTATGGACTGAGGTGAGGTCCTGCAGTTTCCGAGAACAAATCGGTGGCTGCCATCGGGATTCATCTCCACACGAACCTGGAGTCCCAGGTCTCCTTGCACATCAGCTGTGAAAGGCTTCAAGAGTGGGGGGCTGTGGGGAGAAAGTGTGAAAGCCGGTAGGAGAGGGCCTGGTTCTAGCCCATTGGTTTTTTGAGTGAGCTTCTGCAGGTTTGAATAGAACCTTCCAAAACTCCTGGTAAAGGTTATTTCCTTGTTTGTTTTCAAAAGGAGTGATTGAGGACTAGAGAATCAAAGGGACTTTCTCCAAGTCCAGCCAGCATTTGGGGTATGTGACGGAGATCCGCTACCCCTGGCTCTGGGAACTGTCACAGAGGAAAATGCTGGTTCTAAGTACAGCAGCCTGTCGAAACTGAGGAAGTGCCTCGGACCATGGAAAGTCCTCTTTTAGAGGTCTCAAACTCCATTGCCATGAGGGCTGGGCTTGAAACCGGAATGAGTGAAGTGGACCTCAGCTAGTTTCACAGGGAGAGGTAAAGGCTGCAGGGACTGGAGAGTCCCATCCTCTGCAAACACACTGGGCAGGCCAGCCCCAGCCCCCAGGATGGCCCCTAGGCAATGGTGTCAGGAAACCCAGGGGATGCTGAGGTCCATGTCTGATTCTGTGTTCTTGTCTTTAGCCATATTCCCTCAGAGCTGGGTGGGCTCAGGAGTCTACACCAATGAAGGTGAGAGCGTCTGAACGGAGCAGGAGAGGAACCTGCCTAACTCGCTTGTTCCCCTCCGAGGGGCCCAGATTTGAACCAGTCAAGTATTCTGCAGGCCCTTAATTCTCCACGTGGGGGACCCAGGCCCAGAGAGGGTGAATGTGGCGCCCTGATCACACGAGTCTGTGGCTCCTTCCTTTGGTTGTGGCTGCTTCCCACACCCCTGTGCACCTGTGCAAAAACAGATGGAGCCCGCTGTTACTTACTTCACAGTCAAACCAAATGCCAGGGGTACGCGCAGCTCTCCCTCCCCTCCGGATTGGGTGACCTTCATGGACACTTTGAGCAGTTGAAGATTATGGATCTTCACTCTGGGGAAGAAAGGGCACAGCAGGGGAAGGTTGTGGGCCCTGCGGCAGGTGGACCTCGCTTTTTGCAAAGGCAGGTCTCTTGCAGAGCAGAAGTTAAATGTAGGCAAAGATCGTCACTCATTCAGCAGCCACGTAACTTACTGCTGTGGATTACAAGCACTGGGAATACAGCCCTGAGCAAAAAGAAGCTCTTGCCTCAATGTGTCTCAGGATGATCATGTTCAACAGTTTGCTCAGCACCAAACAGGCAGAAATCAATGAGTGAATAAATGGATACATAAAGGACTGAAAGCCACGTATGGTGGATGCTTGGGGAAAGTATATATATGTGTATGTGTGTGTGTGTAAAAGAATAAATCCAGTAAATGAATCCATATAGGACAGGTGACAGGCACTGTGAGGAAAAGGTCCTACAGGATCAGGGGATGGAAGGTGACATTGAGAACAGTAGAATTTTAGGTTCGGCGCCTGTAGCTCACTGAGTAGGGCACCAGCCACATGAAGCTGGTGGGTTTAAGCCTGGCCCAGGCCTGCTAAACAACAATGGCAACTGCAGCCAAAAAATAGCCGGGCATTGTGGCAGGCACCTGTAGTCCCAGCTATTTGGGAGGCCGAGGCAAGAGAATTGCTTAAGCCCAAGAGTTTGAGGTTGCTATGAGCTGTGATGCCTGGCACCCTACTATGGGCAGCATAGTGAGACTTTGTCTTAAAAAAAAAAAAAAAGAGAAAGAGAAGAGTAGAATTTTAGACAGGGTGAGGTAGTCAGAGAAAGTTTTTCAGAGGAATGGACAGTTTGGCAGAGTCATAACTGGAGTGAGAGTATGAGTCATGCAGGTGGTCGGGGGAAGAAGGGCCAGGCAGAGGTTAGAGCAAGTGTAAAAGCCGTGAGGTTGAAATGTGGTGGGTGTGTTTGAGGAGCAGGCTTCACGTGGTTGGTGGGGAGCAAGTAGGGGAGAACCGTAGGAAACAGGGTGAGGGAGATGGCCAGGGCCAGAGTGCATGGAGCCTGGTGGGCCAGTGGCAAGGACTTTGGGTTTGGTTCTGAGAGCAATGAGAAGGGCCTAGAGGGTTTGGGCAAGGGAGTCACAGGGTCTGCGCCATTTCTTAGAAAGACCCCTCTGGATAAGGGTAGAACAGAATAGAGGAGGTGGAGGTGGGGGCTCTGGGACAGTAAGTCAAGAGGTGAGATGATGGTAGCTCTTGCCAGAGGAAGTGGAGAAAATAGTCCGACGCTTGGGTGTGTTTTGAAGGCTGGCTGACAGGGTTTGCTGACAGGCTGGGTGGGGGTATGAGAGAGGCAGAGAGCCAAGGAGGATGTCAAGATTTCAGGCCAGAGCAACTGGCTGAGAGGAGCTGCCCTTAGCCAAGATGGGGATGGGGATGGAGGTGGAAATCAGTTGGTGAATTTTGGATGTATTAAATTTAAGATGCTGTGAGACAAGGGGCCTGGGACTTCCACACTCTGGTGGTCCGGTCTAACCTCAAAGTACAGTATCATTTACAACTATGCTTATTAGGTTATTGTTGTCATTGTCGCTGTTTTGTTACCTTCGCTTGGGGGCTTTTTGAGGACAGGGAGCTGGGAAAGGATTTTACCCGTGTTATTTTATTGAAGGCTCACAACAGCCCTGCAGGGTAGATGTAGTTATTCCACACTGGAGAGGGGCATACCTTGGGGTTCAAAGAGGGGAGCAGACATCCTCTTCCCAGACAGGACTGAATTCCTGTGTGCGTCTCTGTCTTCAACACCCCCCCAGTTCCTGCCTTTGCCCCCGGTGGGAATTTCTCCCGGCCAGAGAATCTCAGGCCATCAGAGCCGGAAGGGCTCTTTGCTGAAAGAAAGGCCTCTGCAAAGTCAGGATGTGGGGAGAGCTCTGCCAAACCAACAAAAGCCAGGACCACTCACCTAACGAGGTCACCCAGGCCTGACTCATAGTGGAGGGCATTCTTCAGTGATTCCTGGAGGTCATTTGGTAGCAAGGGAAGAATATTACTCTCGAGGAATTCTTTAATATCTGAAAAAAAAATGACATTCAGATGCCAAAGATTCTCAGATGCAAGCTTGTCCTTCAAGCCCATGGTGCACACTTGCTGTTCATCTATTCTCTCTGGCCTGCGGGGTGCTGGGCACATTGCAGACACCACATCCAGCTGGTATTTCCCAGGGCCTACTGTGTGCCAGTGCCATGCCAGGGGCTGGGCTGCCCAGCGAGAACAGACTGGACACCCTGCCCTCTGGATTTGGTGTGCTGGTGGGGACAAGGGGGACAGATGATGACACAGCAAATAAAGAACCAAGCAGAGTCAGGTGCAAACAAGTGCTGCGGAGGGGCTGGTCTCAGCAAGACACTGACTGATCAGGCAGGACCTCAGCCAGTTCTCTACGGCCAGGTCCTGGCTCCCCATATTTCAGTTCATGGGGAGGCTGGAGTTCTAGGGTGCTGTGGGAGAGATATCTGAGCAAAAGATAGTTTTCAAGTGGTATAGGAAAAAATGTCAGTACTTTAATCATGGTGGCTTTATAGGGATGCTCAGCTGAGCACCAGGAGCTGAGAACTGGATGGGGTGCTGCTTTAAAATGCAGGGATGTGAGGGGAGGTTTGTTTGTTTCTTTCTTTCCTTTCTTTCTTTTTTTTGAGACAGACTATGTTGCCGGTAGAGTGCCATGGTGTCAGAGCTCACAGCAACCTCCAGCTCTTGGGTTTAGGCGATTCTCTTGCCTCAGCCTCCCGAGTAGCTGAGTCTATAGGTGCCCACCACAATGCCCTGGCTATTTTTTTTTTTTTTTTTGGTTGTCATTGTTGTTTAGAAGGCCCAGGCTAGGCTTGAACCCGCCAGCTACGGTGTATGTAGCTGGCACCCTACTGACTGAGCTATGGGCACTGAGCCGGGAGGTCTTTCTGAAAAGGCAACATTTTAGAGACTTAAAGGAAGGGAGGCAGGTGTGTTGCCAGTTAGGGGACAAGTGTTCAGGGCAGAGGGAACAGGGGCTGCTAAGGCCTGGGTTCGCCCGCATGCTGAGGAGCCTGAAGCAGGGGTGTGGGAGAGGGGGAGTTAGGCCAGTTGGGCAGGGCCAGTTCTTGTAGGATTGGGTCCTTGGATAGAGGAAGCAGGGCACGGTGACAGGGAAGGGGAAAATCTTGGGAAATGAGGATTAAATGAAGTGGTGAGCAGGATCTAAGAATGAATGGCATTAACTATGTCCTGGGCATGATTCTAATAAGAACTTAACTGGCACTGGCTCAGGGTCTGGACTTTGAAAAGAATCTGAGGTCAAGGCAGGATTCAAGGCAAGACCCAAGGGGAGCTGGTCTTACTATCAAGGAGCAGTGAGGGTTGTTCAATGTAGTCACGCAGCGTAGCAGAGGATGAGGCATGCAGCCCACAGAGGAGAACCAGGAGGCCTGAGACCTTCAGCATCTCAAATCAGTTCCCTGTGGGGGATTAGGGCAAAAGGTCAGTTTGGGGGAAACTCCCTAGGAGATCTTCCTAGAGTTTAGATCTGAGGTGGCCACAGCACTCATGTGGCCATCTTATAGATAGGCCCACTGAGGCTGAGAGCAGGGACATGTGCTTTTCCTCAGAGTATTGAGCAGAAAAGAGAATGTCCAAAAGATGAAGACATGTGGCTTTTCCTACAGGGACACATCCTTGCCCAGCAGGGCTGCCCTCAGATGCTGTGAGAGACAGCACACGTAACAGTTACAAGGACATTCTCTGACGCTCTCGGCCTCTTACCGGTAGTGGGACTATGGGGATTAGGGAAAGTTGCTTCCCCACACAGTGCTGTGCAGGGCACACTATGCTCATTTGACAGCGAAGCATCAGTGGCGATGGGCCTGGCTTCAGGGGCAGAGGCCTGGGATGGAATCCCAGCTCTGTCTCCTACTTGTTGGGGAACTTGGGTAACAGATGCCTTGGTCGCCTCACCTGGAAAATGAGGACGCAGCATCTCATACCTCCCTCTTGGCTTTGTCTTAAGTACATGTCATGGCACCCTTGCATGTGATAAGTGCCATAAGTGATGGCTATGGAGCTGAAGAGTCCAAGGACTTGCTTTCCTGAGTGGTGAGGAGCGTGTCAGCAGATGGACAGATGGGCCCAGGATGAGGGACAAGGGCTGGAGTATGTGAACAGTTTGCAGCGCTCCTGGGCTGGAGCCCTCTGCGTGGATGGTGCACTCCCGGGCCCGGGATTGGTCTCAGGACCTTGGCACACACTTCACACACCCCAGAGGGTCAAGGACATGCATGCAGATGTTGGCGTGACATTCTGGGGCTTTAAGCAAGTGGCGATGCAAATGGCCCCGAGGGGGACCGAAGACTAACAGGGGCGTGCTGGTGGTTACTAGTTCTCTCTTTAGCTACTTGAGAGATTCAGGGAAGACTTTCAGCCCAGTTCCCCGTCCCTGGTCCCTGTTCTTGTTTGGTCTAGCATTTTAATTTTGGTGACCTGCTTTTAGATAAGTAGAAAAATGAGAAAATAAAGATATATACAAAGAAAGAACAAAGTAAATAAAAATCAATTCACAGAGATAACTTCTGTTGTCTCTTCCTTCAGAAGTTTTTCTTTACATATACATGAATTTTGTGCAACATCGTGATAAACCAGGACTGTCCTGCCAGGCTCCTCTAGAATCACTTATTTGGGGAGAAACATATTATGCCTATCTTTCTACTGTCTTTTTTTGTTTGAGATAGAGTTTCACTATGCTGCCCTGGGTAGAGTGCTGTGGCATCACAGCTCACACCAACCTCTAACTCTTGGGCTTAAGTGATTCTCTTGCTTCAGCTTCCCAAGTAGCTGGGGCTATAGGCACCCACCACAGGGGCTGGCTATTTTTTTGTTGCAGTTGTCATTGTTGTTTAGCAGGCCTAGGCCGGGTTCGAACCCGCCAGCCTCAGTGCATGTGACTGGTACCGTAACCACTGTGCTACCGGTGCCAAACCATCCTTCTACTTTCTTATCTGTACAACTTTCTGACACATGGTTTGACCAAT